GAACTGGAATTATGGACAGTTGTTAGCTGCCATGTGGGTGCTGGAAATCGAACTGGGTCCTCTGGAAGAACAGCAAGTGTTCTTAACTGCTAAGCCATCTCTCCAGGCTCCCTCAAATTGCTTTTTTTAAAAAAATACTTTATTTATTATTTTTATTTTATGTGTATGCATGTATTGCCTACATGTAGGTAAGTACACCCGTGTCATGCAATGCCTGGAAAGACAGAAGAGGCTGTCGGATCCCCTGGAACTGGAGTTATGGACAGCTGTTAGCTGCTATGTGGGTGCTGGGATTTGAACCCGGGTCTTCTGCAAGAACAGCTAATGTTCTTAACCGCTGAGCCATTTCTCCAGCCTCCTATTCTTTCATTCTTAAAAAATCTTGACATTTGGGGTTGGGGATTTAGCTCAGTGGTAGAGCACTTGCCTAGCAAGCTCAAGGCCCTGGGTTTGGTCCTCAGCTCCAGGGGGCGGAAAAAAAAAAAAAAAAAAAAAAAAAAACGACATTTAAAAGGAAAAACCAGGTTGGGAAGGTAGCTTGGTTTATTCGTAGAGTGCCTGTTTTGGCATGCTTTCAAGCCTTCATTCTTTGATTCCCAACCCTTCAAAAATAAGTAAATGAATGAATAAGTAAGTAAATAAATAAATAAATGACTCTAAGAGCACAGTTAGACTTGAACGCTAGGAATGTAGACTTTGGGGGCTTTTTTCTGTTTTCCAAATACATTTTTTTCTGGAGTAAATATTTTCATAACTTTCTTAAAAGATTTAGATAGATAGATAGATAGATAGATAGATAGATAGATAGATAGATAGATAGACAGATAGACAGATAGATAGATATAAATATATGTGTGTATATGTATTTTGTCTGCATGCACAAATGTGGTACATACATCTCTGGTGCCTGTAGAAGCCAGAAGAGGGTGCTGGAGTCCCAGGAAGAGGAGTTACAGCTAGTTGATAGCTACCATGTGGGTGCTGGAAACCAAATTTGGGTCCTCTGCAAGGGCAACCAGTGCTCTAACCACTGAGCCATCTCTCAAGCCCCGAAAATTCCCATCTTTAAAACAAAGACTCTTCTCCATCACCCCATTCCCCAGTTCCCTTCCAGCACTGAATGCTGGCCCCATTTCACCGCTCCATTTGTAGGCACACTCCTCTGAGTTGACATTTGCAACTCCACTTCTGCCCTCACCATTCTCTCCTGAGTGTGCCTTCAATCTGACTTTCATCTTCACTTGTTTACTGAATCAGCTCTCAATAAAGCCATCCAAAAACTGTTTTCCATAAATAATGATCAATTTTCAGTTTACAACAATATACTTTGACCCAAGTGGCTTTCTCCTTCTGCACTTAGCTACTGGGATACCACTCTCTCTGGCTCCCACTGATCGCCCATTCTCAGCCTCTACTGGTAAATCTTTTATCTTTTTAAAAAAAAATACATTTTATTTATTTTTTGTTTTGTTTTTTGGTTGGGGGGGTTGGTCTTTTTTTTTTTCTCCCTGTAGCCCCAGCTGTCCTGGAACTCACTATGTAGACCAGGCTGGCCTTGAACTCACAGAGATCTGCCTTCCGAGTACTGGGATTAAAGGCATGCGCCACCACGCCCAGCTCTTATTTATTATGTTTATGTGTATGAGTGTATTGCTTATACGTATATAAGTGCACCCTTGTCATGAAATGTCCACAGAAGTCAGAAGAGGGTATCAGAGCTCTTGGAACTGGAGTTACAGATGGTTGTTAGTTGCCATGTGGAAACTGAACCTGGGTCCTCTGCAAGAGCAGTCTGTGCTTTTAACGGCTGAGCCATCTCTCCAGCCTCCACCTTTTATCTTTTCAAATTCTAAACACTGAAGTTTCTGAAGTTCAGTTTTTGGTTTGGGTTTTGTTTTGTTTTGAGACAGGAATATAACCCTAGCTGGCCTAGAACTCACTATGTACACCAGGCTGGCCTTGAAGTCACAGAGATCCACCTGCCTCTGCCTCCTAAGTGCTAGGATTAAAGGCAAGTGCCACCACATCTGGCCCAGTGAAACCTTGAAATCCCTAACAGGCATATGCAGAGGTTTATGTCCTAGGTCATTCCAAATCCAGTCCAACTGACCATCAAGATTAACCATCACAGGTTACATTCCAATATTCTTACCATAAGTTGAAAATACCATATCAAAATGCATTTAATACACCTAACTTTCTTACCATCACAGTTTAGCAATATAGTATATACTATAGAGTGTTGGCTGTCTGGTTTTGTGATTGCATGATAACTGTGAGCTGTGGATCACTCCCACTGTTCAGCATCACAAGAAAGTATCATACAATATACTGCTGAGAAAAAAAAAACACTAAATTTAAAACTCAAAGTACAGTTTCTACTGTACTTTCACACCATTGTAAAGTTGAAAAACCGTAAGTTGAAGTGTGAGCTGGGAATCATATATAACTACAAACCTAGTTTTATGCACAATGAAAACACTAAAAAGTGAAAATGAAAGAGAGCTATTTCAGGCAAACTAGGATTATAAGGAATCTATAGGATGAACTGTAAGCAGAAGGAAACCACAACAGTGCCTCCTCTCGGAAGTTCTGCTGTCTTTGGTTTTAATTATCTGTGGTCTCAGTCACCCATTGTCACATCAAGTAGTTTTAAATGAAGAACTGCATGAACTTGATGAGTCATCTAAAGAGGAAAAGGAAGATGAAAAGAAGAAACTGAGCTGGGTATGTTAGCAGCAGATACCTGTAGCTCCAGCTGTGACTGGGAAAGGCAAGCAAGGAAGGGAAGTATCATGTGGCAATGTTAAACATCCGCTGGGGATCCTCTGTCTCTCCAGGAGGTAAGCAGGAAAGTCTTGTAATCTCAAGTGGAAGCTGAGATGTAAAGGTTACAACAATTAGGACTGGAGCGATAGCTCAGTAGTTAAGAGTACTGCCTACTTTTGCAGAGGAACCAGGTTCAGTTCCTAGTACCAACATGGCAGCTAACACCTGTAACTCCAGACACCCTCTTCTGGCCTTTGCTGGCATTGCATGCATGGGTGCACTTACATACATGCAAGCCAAACTCATACACATTTAAAAAAAAAAAAAAAATCAATCGTGCTGGGATTGGCTCAGCGGTTAAGAGCACTGACTGCTCTTGCAGAGGACCCGGGTTTAATTCCCAGCACCCATATGGCAGCTATGAACCGTCCTTAACTCCAGTTCCAGGGGAATCTGAAGCCCTATTCTGACCTGCTAGGCATTGCATGACACAGGTGTACTCACATACATGCAGGCAATATACTCATACACATAAAATAAAAATAATATTTTTTTAAATAAATAAATCAGGCACTGGGTGTGGCAGCGCACGCCTGTAGTCCCAGTACTCGGGTCAATAAATAAATAATTAATTAATTAAATAAAATTTGTTTTAAAGATATAACAATCAAGGGCTGGAGAAATGACTCAGTGGTTAAGAGGACTGGCTGCTCTTGCAAAGGACCTAGGCTCGATTCCCAGCACCCACATGGCAGCTAACAATTGTCCATAACTCCAGTTCCAAGGAATCTGAAGCCCTCTTCTTGACCTCCTTGGACACTGCATGACACAGGTGTACCTACCCACAATGCAGACAATACACTCATACATGTAAAATTTAAAAACAATAAATATTTTTTAAAAGATATAATAATTGCTGGGCATGGTGGCACACACCTTTAATGTCAGCACTCAGGAAGCAGGTGGATCTCTGTGAGTTCAAGGCCAGCCTGGTCTACATAGTGAGGTCCAGGCCAGCTGGACTACAAGGAGACCCTGTCTCAAAAGGCCAATAATAATAATAATAATAATAATAATAAAGATATAACAATCAAGTTGGGCATGGTCATCTTTAATCTTAGCACTTGGGAGGCAGAGGCAGGCAGATCTCTGTGAGTTCAAGGCCTGGTCTACATAGTAAGTTCCAGGCCAGCTGAGGCTACAGGGAGACCCTGTCTCCAATAAAAGACCAAAAAATAAAAAATTAAAAAATAAAGTAACAGTAGTAACATGTTTCAGGAAGGACTAAATGGGAATATTATCCAGAAGAAAAACAAAGATATTAAATCTAGACTACTATAAATCTAATATAAATTATATTTCTATATTAATAAAAAATAATAGAAATGTAGAATTTGCAAACTACTACAGGAGAAAAATAGATAAAACCAATAAATTGAAAAGGAATTAAAAGAAATAGAACATGTAGGAATAAATAGAAAGTAAAAAGATAATAATTTGAGGGGCTGGAGAGATGGCTCAGCAGTTAAAAGCACTGGCTGCTCCTGCAGAGGACCCAGGTTTAATTCTCAGCACCCATATGGCGGCCAACAACCATCTGTAACTCCAGTTCCAGGAGAATTGGATGCCCTCTTCTGACTTGTGTGGGCATTGTCCAACACAGGTGCACTCACATACATGCAGACAATATATTCATATACATAAAATAAAATATTTTAAAAGATAATAGACTTGAAATTAAATATGCCCATAGTGACACTAAATGTAATAGATTACATATTTCAATTAAAATATAAAGACTATACAATTAAAAATTTTAATTCTGCCAGGTTTGGTTCCACATGCCTTTAATCCCAACTCTCGGGAAGCAGAAGCAGGCAGATCTCTCTGAGTTCAAGGCCAGCCTGGTTCACATAGTGATTTTCAGGTGGGTTAGGACTAGGGAGAACATGTCAAAAAAAGAAAGAAAGAAAAGAAAAAGAAAAAGAAAATTTTAATTCTCCCTGTATGTCACTTACAAAAAGCAACCTTCTAAAACATAACCAGAAAGACTGAAAGTAAAACATAAAGATATGACAGGAGAAAAAAAAAACCTGGAGCCCAGTGTGGTGGCACATGTCTTTAACCCCAGCACTCAGGAGGCAGAGGCAGGAAAATCTCTGTGAATTTGAGGCCAGCCTGGTCTACATAGTGAGTTCTAGGTCAGCTGGGGCTACAGTGAACACTGCCTCAAAAAAAAAATCAAGCAAAAAATAAAAAACTGGTATAGTAACTGTATCAATGTGGGATAAATTATAATTTTTAGATATGTTTTTCTTATTTTAATTTTATGTGTATGAGTATATTGCCTGCATATGTAATTGCACCTGTGCCATGCAATGCCCACAGAGGTCAGAAGAGGACACCAAATCCCCTGGAACTGAAATTACAGTTGTTAGCTGCCATGTGGGTGCTGGGAACCAAACCTGGGTCCTCTGCAAGAGTAGTCAGTGCTCTTAACCACTGAGTCAATCTCTCCAGCCCTGATAAATTATATTTTTAAAACATTACTTTGCAGGGTGCAGTGATGCACACCATTAGTCCCAGCACTTGGGAGGCAGAGGCAGACAGATATCTGTGAGTTCAAGGCCAGCCTGGTCTACATAGTGGGCTCCAGGAAGACCCTGTCTCAAAAAGATAAAAAGGAAAAACACACACAAAAAAAAACAAAAAACAAAAAAGAAAACCCACATTACTAACCAGTCCTGGTAGTACAAGTCTGTAATCCCAGGTACTTGGGAGACTGAGGCAGGACAATCAGAAATTCAAGGCCTAAATAGACTACAGAATGAATTCAAGGCCAGCCCTGGCAAATTAGTAAGATCTTATCTCAAAAAGTAAAAGAAGAGGGCTAGAGATGTAGCTCAGTAGTAGAGCACATGCCTAGCATGTACAAGGCCCTAGGTTCAATCCTCAACACTGAAAAAGAATATATTAGAGAAAACTGGCCACTTCATACGGGTACAAAAAGTTCAATGTGTGAGAAAAAATATATCTTATTTTTAAATTTATTATGTTTTCTGTGTATGAGTGTATTGCCTGCATGTGTGTAAGTATACCCGAGTCACGCAATGCCTGTGGAGGTCAGAAGATGGCATCAGCTCCCCTGGTACTAGAATTACAGATGGTTGTTAGCCACCATGTGGATGCTGGGAATCGAACCCCAGTCCTCTGTAAGAGCAGCCAGTACTCTTAACCACTGAGCCATCTCTCCAGTCCCCCATAGAAAAATATACCTTATTAAAAGCTGTTTGTACCTAAAGCTGGGTGTTGGTGGCCCATACCTGTAATCTCAGCACTTGGAAAGCTCAGGTAGAAGGATTCTGAGTCGAAGGCTAGTCTGAGTTATATAGCAAGACCCTGTCTCAAAAATAAGTTGGGGGGGGGCGTGTAGAAAGATGGGTCAGTGCTTAAGCATACTTCTTGCTCTTCCAAAGGACCCAAATTCAGATTCCAGCACCTAAGTTGGGTGGTTCACAACCAGCTATATAACTCCAGCTCTGGGGAATCAGATACCCTCTTCTGGCCTCCACTGGCATTGCACACACGGCACATGAGAGAGACAGACAGACAGAGACAGAGACAGAGACAGAGAGACAGAAATAAAATAATCTAAAACCAAAACAAAAATCTGTATGTACCTAATAAGACAGTCATAGGTTTTTGTTTGTCTCTGTTTACTGGGGATGAAACCCAGGGCCTTGAACATACTAGGCAAGGATATCCCCAGCCCAAGGCAGTCTCATAATATATACAGGCTGTCAAAACTGAATGTAAGTGTAAAGCATATGTGGTGGTACACACCTTTAATCCCAACACTTGGGAGGCAAAGGCAGTCAGATCTCTGTGAGACTAAGGCCATCCTGGTCTACATAGTGAGTTCCAGGCTGGCTAACTGGGGCTACAGGGAGACCCTGTCTCAAAACAAAACAAAACAAAAAAACAACCTGAAAAAAACAAACTGAAAGTAAATGTAAACAAATCCATGACGATATTGAGATATTAACATGTCATTCAGTAATTAACAGAATAAGCAGTCAGAATATCAATAAGGATACTGAAGGCCTGAGTATTAACAAGTATGATCCTTGATCCAACTGGACACATATCTATAAAATGGTACCACACAATACAGCATACATTCTTTTCAAGTACATGAAACATTAAAAATAAATTCACTAGGTCAGGCATGGCAGTCTCAGGACTCAAGAGGCTGAGGCAAGAGGATTGCTGTGAGCTCCAGGCCAGGTGGGCAAGAACTAAATCCACAGTGACCACGGCCCCTCTCACCTCATCTCCTACTGCATTTTCCTCTCACCTGTGCTTTAGGCACACTGGAATACCCCAAGTCCATTTCTGCCTCAGGGACTTTTCAACTATCTTTTTCTCTCTGCTTAGAATGTTCTTCTTTGACATGGATAATTCCCCTGTTCATTAAGAGACCTCTTAGCTTTATAGTTCAGTTTGTTAAGAGAATGGCTTTCCCTCAACACTATAAAATCACACGCATGATGACATTTGCTACCTAGTTCAATCAGAAATGTAAGCTTCTCGAGGAGAGATTCTGTTTTGTTTCCTTCTCACTCTAGCACCTACAAGTGACTGCCTCATCATTTCCAATTAATACTGTTAAATTAATAAAATAAAATCTGAAAAAGCCAAATATTTTAGAACCTGTGTATTGTCAAAGATAGTGTTAGTGACATGGCTTAGCAGGTTAAGGGCACCTGCCACCAAGTCTTACAACCTGAGTTCAATATCCAGATTGAATTTGGTAGAAGGAGAGAATTGACTCCAAGTTGTCATCTGACCTCCACAAGCATGCCACGGTGGCACTTGCCACACATGCATGTCGACACATGCACAGACACACACACTCACACACAAATAATTTTTTGAATTTATGTTATTTACTGTGTATCTGTTTCTGATTTATACCTCATCTCCACAATTTCCACCATGAAGAGATCAATAGGGTAACATGATCTTCTAATAGCCAAGACAGCATCCACTACAGACTGCAAGAGAAGTGTATGAAAACAGCAAATTATCTGAACTACTAAAAGAAACCCCTGTCTCAAGTAATCAATCCCAGACTAAACACATAAAGGGGTACAAGTTTCAAAGCCTAAAGCACATCCACCAAGTGCCACATCCAGCACATTTGTATTTCTTAAGGTAAATTAATAACACAGCGTTCTGATTTGTGAATTTGGCTGTTATGAATTAATTGTTCCTGACAAACAAATATATTCAAGTTTCAGAAACTGCAAAGCTGAGAAGCAATGATCTAATCAAATGATAACCACTTGATAACAATCTCCCAGAGATATCCAGTCAGTTTTGTCAGCACATTCCATATATTTTACCTTTAGAAGTAAATAAAACAAATATGCATTTCCCAAATGTGAATATTATTTATCAGATCAATCATGCGTCATTAAAATGGTAACTACAAGGCACACTGCCAAAACATCTTCCTCATGCTTCACCACATATAAGCTAATATGGACCTCTAGGTTTAGACTAATATATTTCTGAGTGTGCCCACATGAGATAACCAACAGACAGCCAAGTCCCTTACAATTTTTAAATCCCATAGTATTAATATGATGTTTTATAAAAATTACAAATACTGCTCTGGCCAATCAAATTCTTGCCTTTTTGACTTACATTTCTAAAAAATCATATGCAATACTTGGCTATCTTATAGGAAAAAGAAAAATATCACCATGTGTTTGGCTATACTCACTAAACAAAAGCTTAATCACGTACCTCTGTTAACACATCAGCCAGTTCAGTATGAACTTTTGTTCACAGGGATGTTCTAGCCACGTCTAAGGGGATTTCTCTTTTCATCTCTTTTTCTACTTTAATTTCCTCTAAAACTTCAAGAGCTTTTATCTTTGCATTTCAAATCTTTCTGCTATGATTCTAGGGTGCAGGCCCTGTTATATTAGCATAAAATCATAAATTATATAGAAAATCATATAAGTGAAAGTTAACTATGCTCTCAGATGAATAAGCTTGCTAAATAACAGTATTGCTGGGCTAGAGGGATGGCTCAGCAGCTAAGAGCAGTGGCTGCTCTTGCAGAGGACCCAGGTTTGGTTCCCAGCACCGACTGTTGGTTAACAACCATTCTAACTCTAGTTCCAGTGGATCCAATGCCCTCTTCTGACCTCCATGGGGCATTGCACAACACAGGTGCACTTACATATATGGAGGCAATACATTCATACACATAAAATAAAAAATAATATATTTAAAATACAGTATTATCCACATCAATGACACTAATGTATGTGTAATTTAGAAGTCATTTTCAGTGCTTTGTATCTGAAATAATCTTAAACTTAGAGAAAGGTTGCAATAAGAAAAATTATAAATTTGTTCATTCATTCACTCATTTGGAGATAGGATATTGCTACATAGCCCAGGCTGGCTCCAAACTCATGATCTTCCTGCCTCAACTCCCAACTGCTAGGATTTCAGGTATGCAACACTATGCCCAGCATAACAGTCTTTTTTCCCAAAACCTATGGCCATATCATTTAGGCACAAAATATTACCTTCAGTATAGAGAAAAGAGGCAGCACTGACTTTGAGAAAAGTGGTAGACTGACACCTCTTCACCCAGTGGTTAAAGTTAACATCACAGTGAAGGTCAGATAGTGATTTTGATCCCCCTGATAGAAAACATTAAGAATACCACAGGATTTCTTCCCCAAAATTAATAGCCTGAATCTAATCATGAGGAAAGAAACAGTATCAATTGAGGGGATTATCTATAAAATAACTGGTCTTTGCTAGTTAAAGGTAGCAATGTGAGGCCAGTGAGATGGCTCAGGAGGTAAGAGTGCTTGCCACCAAGACTGGCAACCTGAGTTCAGTTCTGGGACCTACGTGGTGAAGGAGAAAACTGACTCTTGAAGGTTGTCTCTGATGGCTACACACACACACACACTCAAATAAATAAATAAATGTAATTTTAAAATAAAAGTAGCAATGTCATGAGCCATAAAACCCCTCAGGAATTATTTCAGCTTAAAGGAGACTGAAGGGGCATGGCAACCAAAGGCAATGCATTATTATAGATTCTCCTTTTTCTATAAAAGACACTCTTAGAAGTGGTGAAATCTGAATAAAATCTGCAGATTAGATAACAGTACTCTGTGAGTGTATCAACGTCAATATTAATTTTCTGGGTTTTTAAAATTTCTTGTTTTATATAATTATATTGTGACTATATTGGAGAATTCAGTGACTTAGAAATTTATCTACACAGTAAAACACTGTCTCAAAGAAACAAAAGTTTATACTGAAATAACTAGATCATATTTGCAACTTACTCTCACACCATTCAGAGAAGTTATGATGGCACATACGATATATAATATATATCTGAGAGAGTAGAACAGAGGTGAAATAACACACTTAGAAAATCTGGTGAAAAGCCTATATAGTAATTCTTTGCAATAGTCTTGCAACTTTCCTGTAGGTCTAAAATTTTCACCAAGGGCCTGGTGAGATGTATACTCCTTTAATCCCAGAAGCAGAGGCAGATGAATCTCTTTGAGTTCAGCCTGGTCTACTAGCAAATTCCAGGCCAGACAGGGTTATGCAGTGAGACTCTGTCTCAATAAATTGTAATAAAATTTTGATCAAATAAAATTTTCTGAAACTAGGTTTTATTTTGTAGCCTAAATTGGCCTCAAAGTTACAAATATCCTGCCTTAGCCTCCTGAATACTAGACTTATAGGCATGTGCCACCAGGCCTCATTCACAAAATAAAAAAAAATTTGTCTGAGACAGGGTCCCCCTGTAGTCCCAGCTGACCTGAACTATGTAGAGCAGGCCGACCTTGAACTCAAAACGATCTGCCTGCCTCTGCCTCCCGAGTGCTGGGATTAAAGGCGTGCACCACCATGCCTGGCTAAAATAAAAATATTTTAAATAATG